ATATTCCTTTGAGGGGTGCCTGTCACCCTCAGATGGGGCATGATGTTTGGCAATTTTGGATCCTTAGGTATTTGTGCAAAGTGACACTCAAAGATGGAAAGGCTCACACTCTGACACACCCCGCCAGCCACACAGACTCCATTCCTCTGTCTGTGTCCTCGTACCTGGAGGGTGGCCCCCAGCCTGTCATGGACTCTGGTGGAGATGGCCAACACTGCCACCTAGGCTCTTTAGGACCAACAAGACTTGCTGAACTCATGGGCGAGGAGGATGGTGCGTAGCTGAACGGTTTCTGATTCTGTGCTGGAAGAACAGGTRTTATGCTCRAATTCGGGACCCCCAAAGACCACCAGAGATCCAAGATCAATGTAAGCAGCAAAGAGGCGTTTATTGCGAGCTAGCTCGGTCCTCTGCGTGCACACACAGCAACTGGTGACACTGAGAAGCCCAGAGCCCAGGGTTTGCAGCAGTTTTATACATTCTTTGGAGAAGGCAGGGACTTCACATACATCATAGCATCCCTTAGCAAATCATCACACACAGCGGGAAAATCAAATAACAACTCTAAAACATGATTAGCACATTCACTGGCGGGAACAAGTTGGGTAGGGGTGATTGGTCAGTACAAAAGGGGTATTCATTTGAACTGATTGGTTTGAGCCACGAGGGGTGTACATGCTGAACTACATGGTTTCCCAACTTGTTATCAACCACCATAAACTACTGGGAGGGTCATCTGGCATCCCGGGTATTTCCCTGTCTCATGCTGATTGGTGGCGGCTAGGGGGTTGCTATGGGTCCCCACCTAGCCTGACTGAGTCAGGGACACCTGGCGCAGCAGATCTCTCCTGTTATTTGTAGATAAAACAACTCAGCAGGGTGAGGATGTGCCTAGGAGTGCTCTGTGGGTCTTTCCAAGGACTTGGACAGGCTTTGCTCTGAAGTAGAGGCTGGTTTTTCACAGGGTGGTGTGTGGTCATTGCCAACACCTCCTGCTGTACTTATAGAGACACCATGGGAGAGACCCAGAACCAGTCCCCCACCCCCAATTGGTTGCAAACAGTGGAGCCATCTGAAGGGTCCTTCTTTGGCCTCTTCAGCRCCTTCTTCTCTAGATGGCTGGCATCTGGTCACTGCTCCAGGCAGTCCTGTTGTGGTAGTCCTCCTGGGTCTAGTGAGATGTCTTTTGCACTGAGACTGGTCACAGTGTCACATGAATGTAGTAAGAGCTGGGGAGATGTTAGGGCCTATGAGATGAATTATCTTTGCMGCCTCCTGGCTTGCAGGGTGGACTGCAGGATAAGCTCCCACATGGCCTTGCTGACCCAGCTATTCCAGTTGCCCCTGGTGTATAAAACCCAGGGAAGAATGCTCCAGCAACATGGGTATATGTAGGTGAGACTCCATCCTGCCTGGCTGGTTTTCCTGAACCTTGGGGGACCAGCTCACCATGAATTCTAGGCGTCTGTGGTCCGTGGTTGCCAATCTGTGAGCTATAATGTTGCTTTGCAGCTGGGTACAGTGGTGCAGGCCTGTAATCCCAGGAACTCAGGAGGGTGGGGCAGGAGGGCCACACGTTCAAAATCAACCTGAGTGACTTAGTAAGACCTTGTTTCCAATATAAAAAATAAAAAAGGTCTGGGGATGTAGCTCAGTGTAAAGAACCCCTGGGTTCAATCCTCAGTACCCCACCCCCAATACAGTTGCTTTGCTTAAACTCGTGGGATCGTTGTGTCTCATTGGACTTGTGCAAGAGGTAGAGTAGCCAGTGTGTGGGCCTGTACTTTACAGGTAGTGGTCACCCTAGTCCAAATTCTCAGGCAGTGTGATGGGAAAGTGAGTGGACAGAGACAGAAAGGCATTGTTCTCTCCCTTCCTGAAAAGCCCTGGGCCCTGCTTTAAAAATTGATCCTCTACTCCAGTGGCCAGCTTTGCGTCCCCAACAACTCAGGGACTGAGTTCTTCTTTCTTGCCTCATTGGCTTCATTCATTTCTTTCACAGACAAGAYAAAAACCAAACCCAAAACCTGAAGGTGACATTCTGTTTGCCGGAACCCAGGGTTGGTACCTATTCTGTTAAAACAACAAGAAGCAATGCTTCCTCCGGCCCTCTTCACCTCCATCCCCACCTGCTAGAGTCTGGAATGTTCCCCCAAAGACCCATATGCTAGAGGCTTGGTCCTCCGGGTGAGAGGTGTGAACTGCTCAGAGGCTAGAACTGATCTGAGGTTGCCCATCTCTCTAGACCCAGAGTTCCAGACCCTTTAAAGTAACTCTGCCCTCTTTCTCTCTCGTCGAACACCTGGGAGTTTATTTCCTCTCTGGACATGGTAGCTTTAGAGAAATGACTTGGTGATGGAAAAATCACTTGTAGTTATGGAGGGACTCCCCAAAGCCAGGCTCTGGGTTAACTTGCAGACAGCTGAACTGGGTGGGGGAGGGCGGCGGCCGCCATCCTGCCCTACTGGAAGTTGCTGGCATATCCTTCCCTATTTCTTGGGTAACTAAAAGAGTCCTTTGGTTGTCATAACTTTTTTTTTTTTTGTATTGCTGACTTAATTTTTATATTACTTTAATTTGACATAATTTAGTTTGATACAAGTTAAAACTTAGAGAAAAATCACAAGTGTAGGGTTGGAAATTCCCATATGCCCTTGACCCACAATGACCAATGTAAACCTTTGTTTCTGACTTTTTTTTTTTTTAAATTCGAAGCTGTCTTGATAACTCTTTTCAGATGCTTGCATGATGACATTCTCTTAAAATTCTCCCTTCTACTTTAGAGTACCTATTTATTTCCAGTTGAGATTGCAAAAATTAGAATCAATCATGCTTTTACTTGTTAATTGTTTTTTCAAATGTTCTAGGTTTTTCTATCATTTTTTCACAGCAATTTGATTGATTTAAGAGAGGGAGTGGTGAAAGTGAGCTTGACTATGTAAAAAGTTTGAATCTTGTGTTGTATTCCACTACTTTGTGTACACAGTGATTTCAGGTGTGGCGGTACTTTTTAAAATCAATGAACTATCTGGCGGTGGTAAGTTTCGGGTTTGMAGAAGACCTGAACAGAGAGTGCAGAGGGTTCCCCTATTCCCTGGGCTGTCTCTCTCGGTTTCCCTATTGACCCCCGGCATTGGGGTGTTCGCATGCTAATTGATGGGCTAACATGGATCCTTATTGCCATTAAAGCCCATGGCTTACCCCAGGGTTCAACCCAGCAGCTGTGCCTTCTATGGGGTTTGGTACCGTCTAATGACTCATGTCCTGCCTTGTGGCACGGTACCCAGCGGTTTCACAAACTTTGGTCCCTTGGCTTCCCTGAGCGCCAGTCTTCCTGCACAGCCCAGACCCCAAGGATTTCCTGTTGGGTGGGGAAGACAGGGGCAGCCCCTGGTAGCCAGGAACTTTGCATGGTGCTTTTTCTGTGACAACACCCTTGATCCCCTACCGCTTCCTTGGCTGGGCACCAAACAAGAGGCTGTGCCCGGGTGGGGTGAGAGGAGCTTCCTGGAGGCGAAAGGGAGGCGGCCACACTGTCTGGCTGATTGCTCTTACTCCACTCCTGAGCCCRGCCCAGGGCCTTCCCACAGTGATTTTGGGAGCTTGGGCTGCCTTGAGGGAAGAATTTTTAAAAAGAAAATTGAGAACTGACTGTATTAGGGGAAAAAAAATTGGAAATAAAGACAAAGGTCTGATATAAAATTCTCTACATCTACTAAAAATCATATATGTATATATTTAAAAGAATGAGCAGGTATTTTTTTTTATAACAATAAAACTATTCTCATTTTAGGGAATTTCTTCCTCTGAAAAAAAGGGCTGCTTTGAAGGTGTGCTGAGTGCCCAATGCCTCTTCACTTCTTGGCAAACAGAGACTCGTTTAGRATAGTTTTAGGTTTATAGAAAAATCGGGAAGATAGTACAGACAGTTTCAACGTCCTGGCATACAGCTTCCTCTATTTTACATTGGTGTGTTACATTTGTTAATGTGWATGCCTCACTATGGATATTAGCAAAATTCCATTTATTCAGATTTCCTTAGCTTAAACTAATCTCTTTTTCACCTGATAGACCCAACCTGATCTTTTCTTAAAATTGGGAGCCATCTCGCCATAAGCCATGAAAAGCTAATTTGGGCTTTACTATAAATTACTGCAAATTCTGAACCTGCTTGGAATGCCTGCCCGTGCCTTGAACTCACCCAGGCCTGGCTCTCTGACCAGACAGCAGCCCTCTCTGAAACTTTAGTGACACCTCATAAATATTGGCCTTCCCTGGCCAGACAACGACCCTCTCTGAGGCTCTAATGACCTTCATAAATTCTGATGTCGGGGCCAGCAAAAATGTAAACTACCATTAGTGTGACGCTCGTCAGAGTTCTGTTATCTGTAACCCCCCTTTGTGTAACTTTCTGGGCTATAAAGCTGGGCTGCAGGAAAGCTGGGGTGCTGTCTTGTTCCCACCGATTTGGGAGGGAGAGGCAGCCTGGCCGGTTGAAATAATAAGCTTGCTTTAATTTGATTTTAATTGGAGTCAGTGTGTCTTTTCTTGCGTCCTGGTCTAACACACCTTCCAGGATTATGTGTTTACTTCAATTATTTTGATTCTCATTATTGTTTTTGTTGTAATAGGTTGTCAGCAAATACCTCTCCTTCTCCTTCCCTAGCTTGCTCTTAGCCTTTTTTTATTTTTAGGAAGTAGGGTGTGAAGCTGAACTTGAAGGCTGGACACTGGCCCAGGGCTGGGAACTGTGCACGGCCCCTGGGTGTTGGTGGGTGGCCAGTGCCGGGGCTTTGCTTTGAGCTGAGGAGGAATGTGAAGTTCAGGGTGGGTGGGTGGAATCTGAGCTGCTCAGGTTGCAGTCGAAACCACAAGCCCAAAGCTTCTGTTGAGCAACAGAGTATCTTCCAGCAATTGCTTCAAGATGAATCAGAGAGATTTCTTGACCCAAGGTTGGAGGCGAAGTCTAGACTGCATTATAAAAGCCTCCCTCCCGGGCTCATGCTCTTCACCAGTGCTGGCTTTCCGCTACTGCTCCACACTTTTGTGCATTGAAGGGTAAGTGTCCTTTCCTTGGCTGGCTCCTTAGGTGTCCCATAGGATTATGATCGCAGGTGGTCACTTTGCAATCACAGGTGTCAGAAGCCTCCGCTTGCCTGGGCACTTCTGGACTGATCCCACATTTTGAATTCAAGCTCCTGCTGTGCTTGGTGGATCCAGCCTCAGGCATGGCTTACCAGGGCTGGGGTGTCTGTAGACGTTGCATGGCCAAAGTATGGTTATCTGGGGAAAGCAAAGAGTGATGTCAGCTACAGAACCCTTCGCAGGGAGCTTAAGTGAGCAGTAACCTCTAAATGGTCTTGCCCGGTGGATGAGGTGGCGTGTGACACCACGGGCAACTGGGGTTGATGCTGTCAGACTTTAGACAGTGTCTCCTTCTCTCCTATCCACAAATCAAAAATTCAYAGTGGTTCCAACTTGGAGCAGAGAGACCCCAAGTGGATCTGGAGGACGTCTGTCATGGTTTTTCTGCACCCTAGATACAGAAAGAGGGGAGAGTGGATGGTAAGGTTGGGGGGAGGAAGTGAAGCTGGACCTCTTTTGTCTTCTAGAAGGTGAACCTGAGGTTGGAAAGATGCCCACTCTGGAAGAGCACTTTGTGGGGATCATCAACATCTTCCACCAGCACTCAGCTCATGTGGGGGATTTTGACACCCTCTTCAAGAGTGAGCTGAAGAAGCTGATAACCAGGGAACTTGCCAACACCATCAAGGTAGGTGCTGCCCATCTCGTCACCAACTTGTCCTCCCCTGGCACCGAGGAGGTGGCGAGTTCCCGGAGAGGATGGCGGGACAAGGACTGGGGTCGGGTCAGCCCCAGTGTGAGCGCCCAAGGGCCTTCTCCCCCTGCTGTGGGGTCGGGCCTCTGCTGCCTGCCCTCTCTCACACTCCCTCTCCTTTTGGGCTTTACTCAGTTTCTCACTCTGGGATTTGTGTCCTCAAGTGCAAAGGTGCAGGGGAGGGGAGGCCTGGGTGAGACGCACTGCAGAGCACTTTCCAGGTCAAGCCTTGCCGGAGTCTGGGGTGGCTCATCTGGAATGTCAGTCACATCCTCTGTCTTGTCATGTTGGATTCCCCAGTGCCGCCTCAATGACTTAATGTCCTAGACGTCACTAAACTGAGTCCCGAGGGCTGAGTGGTCTAAGAAGGGTCGGTGGGGGAGTTTGATACCGAGGGTCTCTGTTCTCTCTCCTAGAATAGCCAAGATCCAGCTACCATTGACAGAATATTCCAGGATCTGGATGATAATCAAGACGGACAGGTCGACTTTAGGGAATTCCTGTTACTGGTGGCCTCTGTGCTGGAGACCACCCACAAGAACCTCCACCGAGAGTAGCCACCTCTCTGAGAGCCTTTTCCCAGCCATGTCCTGAGGAGAGTGTTTCCCCTCACCACAGCCCTGCTTGGCCTGAGGGGAGTGAGAATTAATAAAAGCACTCATGAAACATTCTTAACGGCATCTGTCCACTTTTGTTTCTCTCCGCGCATGGTTCCCTCGACTTAGCTATACGTCACCTTGCTATTCTGACAGCCTCATTTAGACCCTTTAAACCCCTGGCTCCATTTGTCTACCCAATATTTACTGAAAGTCCACTGCTTGTTTAGAAAAAATATTCATTGAATATTTGTGACASCCAGAGACCAAAATAACAAAGTCCTTGTCCCCTCGGAGTTTATTTTCCATTGGGAAGTAAGTGAATAGTCAAACACCTAATATATTTATATGACATATATACATTATGGTAACATTGGAGGGTGATAATAAATGATGTGAATGAAACTGAAGCAAGGAATTTGGGCCGGGGTAGAAGGAAAAAGAAGGGGATGTTAGTTTAGATGGAATGTTTTGGGTATGCATTGGAGTAGAAGTCGGAAAGAAACGAAGGAGAGTGGCTTGCAGATATCTGGCATCCGGGAGTTCCTGACAGGTAAAGATCAAGGTCCTGAGGTGGGCCTAGGCTCAAAGAATGGCACAAAAGCCAGTGTACCAGGCACACAATAACCGAGATGGGGAGTGGGGGTAGGTGGGATACGGTCTGCAGGAGAGAGGACTACATCACGTCAAGGAAATAAAAATTCCCATTTAGATATTTTACATTCTTTTGTTTAAAGTCTTTGAAATCCAATGTGTATTTTATACTTTCAGTATATCTCATAGCTACAGCTACATTTTTTTTAAATTTGTTTTTTAGTTGGAGTTGGACACAATACCTTTATTTTATTGATTTATTTTTATGCGGTGCTGAGGATCCAACCCAGGGCCTCGCACGTGCTAGGCGAGGGCTCTACCGMGGAGCCACAACCCCAGCCCCGCTACAGCTACATTTTAAGGGCTCCATAGCCGCGTACAGTTCATGGCCACCATATTGGATATTGCAGCCCAAGGTCATTGGTCGGAAGCCGGACTGGGCTAGGAGGCTGGTGACAAGGAGAAATCAGATGCTGAAGACATTCTGAAGGTGGAAAGTGAGAGATCACAGTTCACTCCAAAGGTTTTTTTTTTTTTCTTTTCTCTCTGACATTGAGCTGGGTGTTGGGGATGTAGAAATGAAAGACTAAGCGTTGCCTTCAGGTGCTCRATTCTGGTGAGGAAAAGTGGGAGTCAGCAGAAGTTTCCATGTCATGACATGCGTGCTTTAGCAGAAGTAAGCACGGGACACTGTGGGAGAACAGGAAGGTGGCCTGGCTCGGGGGGGTGAGGCTGTTGGGCTTCCTGAAAGAACGGACACTTGGTGATGATATTGGGGGTAGAACTGTGAAAACAGGGAAAATAATCCGGTACTTGCATGTTTCTGAGCATGGGGTTGTAAGGAACAATTTCTCCGGTTCTCTCAGAAGGGACAGGAGTTGGGAAGAACAAAAGTAGGGWCCAGGGAGTAGAATGCTATGCTCTGTCCGACCTAGAGTAAAGGGCAGGAAGGCCTCTCTGTGTAGACCCTTGATGGTCCGGGCCAAGTTCTTGGCTCAACACCACCCGAGAGGGGTGCGGTCTCCTTTGGTGTCTTTCTCTTGTCTGTGAGCCACAGAGAGGCACAGGCATCGATGTGATCTTGCTTAATGCCCACACCCCAGTGGACGGGGTTGTTTGAGAGCAGGTGCCCAGAACCTGGCAGTGGGGGGATGCTTGCTGTTTGGGTCCTTCCAAAATTCATGTTGAACCCGAATCCCCGACGTAACAGTATGGAACGCTGGTGGCTTTAGGAGGTCAAATACCATGAAAGCTCCACCCTCACAGAGAGGTACGGTGCCTTATTGGAAAGGCTTACTGGGGTGAGTCCCTTTCTCCACCTGAGACTCGGCATTCATCCCCTATGGAGGGCGCAGCTCCAGGGCCTCATCTCGGAAGCAAAGAGCAGCCCTCGCCAGACATGGAATCTCTCAAAGTCCGGGTCTTGGGCTGTGAAGCGTCCCCAAATGGGAGAAATAAAATTCTATTTTATAAGTTCCCCAGCCTGCGGCATTTTGTTGTAGCGGTACAAACGGGCTAACACAGTGTCGGATAAGTATTTCTTTAATGAATAAATGTGTGGACATCAATAAGGCTATGGGTTTGGTTTTCCTCTTTAAATTTTTTTTCTTTTTTTAAAATATTTTTTAATATTTATTTTTTAGTTATAGGTGGGCACAATATTTTATTATTTTATTTTTGAGTGGTGCTGAGGMTCGAACCCAGTGCCTCATGCATGCTAGGCAAGTGCTCTACCACTGAACCCCAGCTCTAGGCCTAAATTTTGTTTATACCAGGGTTTGAACCCACTTAACCCCTGTGCCACATCCTGCGGCCTTTTATTTTTTATTTTGAGACAGAGTTTAGCTAAGTTGCTTAGGACCTCACTAAGTTGCTGAGGCTGGCTTTGAATTTGTGATCCTCCTCCCTCAGCCTCCCCAGCGGCTGGGATTTCAGAAGTGCACCCACCACACCTGGCGATTGGTTTTCCACAAAGGGCTCCAGAGGAGAACGGAGAGTATGAGCCCAGGGTGCAGGAATGATCTCTGAAAGGGCCAGGTGGGTTAGTGTTCCCTGGAGAGAAGGGGAATTCAGTCTGGTCATCGGGAGTCAATGGAGCCTCCCTGTCCTCCGATCCTGCCTCCCTCCAGCTGATGCTGATGCTCCGCTGGGATGGATGGGGAGCTTGGAATCAGGAGCAAGCCCTGCCCTTGGGAATCAGATGGCTTTATCAGAATGTCAAGGTTCCCAAGGAGAAGCCTCCAGGCAGAGTCCTGGGCTCTGGCAGACCCGTCACTGGCTGCCAGCCTCTCTTCAGCAGCAGGCACAGCTCAGAGGGCAGCATCTGAGGGAGATCTAAGGGACGCTCCACCCGTGAGTAGATATGGGGAAGTCCAAGAGGGGCGCTGCCCGTTGTGGGGACACGGCTTGGCCTCGGGCTTGTTTGGTGAGAAGCCACATGGAAATGACGTGCAGGATGCTGGGATCCAGCGCTGGGCCCACTCTGCAGCCCAGCAGTCCTCCTCCCCACGGAGGAGCCCCCGGTCCCCGCGCTGGTGTCTGAGCGGAGCAGAGAGGAAGCAGGGAGTGTTGAGAGTGTGCGAGGACGGGGCAGGGCAGGAGGCCAAAGACGGTGAAGGAGGACTGGCAGAGGAGGAAGGGTCGGAACCCAGAGAGGAGGGTCCTGGGATTGTCAAAGCCCGGCAGCTTCCATCACCACAGGTGGGCTCTGTTTCCCTCACTTTGAGGAAYCCAAAGGAGTTTTAGAATTTCAGTTTCGAGGAGCTTCAGACTAGGTGRACACTAAGTTGTCACCTACTTTTGACATCCTGAGATGGAGGGGGATTCTGAGTAGGTCCAGAAGGGCAGCGTCACTTCACGTGAGGGTACCAAGGGTGACAACCCCAGGATGCACTCCAGGGGAGCAGTGCAGGGGATGAGGACTGAGTTCTGTTTCCTGGTTCTTCTCCTYGTTTGGCCACTTACTAATTGTGAAACTTTGAACAAAGAACTTTGAATCTTTCAACTTTAGTTTCCTCCTCAATCACACGGGGCTAACCATGGGAGCTTTCTCCCAGAGTGGGTGGGAGGCTTAGCTGGTCTCCAGGCATCTGTCAGCCACTTGGCCCCTGACGCCGGGAAGTACTTAAGAGAAATTAGTAAGAAGGGAGTTAGGATTTGCATATGAGGCGTCTCCCCAAAGCTCCTGTGTTAAGGCAGGAATGCTCCAAGGTGAGATGAGCGGACTGTGAGAGCCTGACCCATCAGTCCATCCCAGTTCGAATGGCCTGGGTGGTGACTATAGGCAGGTGGGACGAGGCTGGACGAAGTGAGTCACCGGGACATGCCCTGAGAGGCGCATCTTCCTGGTGGCCTTTCCTTCTCTCCCCCTTGTTTGCTTCCTTCTGCCATGAGCTGAGCGGTGCTTCTGCACACACCCTCCTACCACGAGGTTCGGCCTCACCTCGGGCCCAGAGCAAAGCAGGCAGCTGCCCATGCACGGAACCTCTGAACCTGTGAGCCAAACTGAACCTTCCCTCCTCTAAACTGTTCTCTGTTCTTGTCAGACGTTGTGATCACAGAGATGCGGAGGTGACTAACACAAACAATAAGACAGTTTGTACAAGGGATAATTGCAGCTCACCTATTCTCTGCAATGTATCAATAGGTAGAGATTATTTTAAACTGAAGCAAAGATTAACGTTGAATTTAGGGGAAGCTTGGGTCGTCAAGTAACCAGGGGTGACTGTACAATAGCTTCCTTTCTTTTTTTTTCTCAAATATTTAGTTTTTAGTTGTAGTTGGACACAATACCTTTATTTTACTTATTTTTATGTGGTGCTGAGGATCGAACCCAGGGCCTCACATGGGCTAGGCGCACGCTGTACCGCAGAGCCACAACCCCACCCTACAATATCTTTCTTTAAAGGTCTTTGAACTAGATCAAGCTGCTGTGTCATTTAATACACTCACACGTATTTCTGATCATTTTGGATATAAATCATAGTAAAACCAACAACCATCAAGAAGAACAAAACCCAGTGTATTTGCTGTAGTGAGAACATTCACTGTGATTCTTTTCCCCCTATAACAACCTGCTGAGCCACAAACTGAGCTGAAATCATAGGAAGAATTCATGAACTGTTAAATCAGAGGCATGCAAGGGTGAAAACAGCCTTCGAGTTGCAATCACTCAAGATGGATCGACTCCTGGCTCAACTGCTTCTTGGCCTTGTGGCTTGGGCTGGTGGCTGTGCAGTTCTCCGAGCCCAGTTTTTCTATCTGTAAAGTGTTTGCACTAGTGACCGCTAGTGCCTTCATGAAAACAGAGTCTAGACTCCGTGACTTCAGCAGGTGTCATTAAACAAGCAAACAAACACAAATGCTGTTAGGGTCACAGAGCCACAGAGACCGGACC